TGAGATATGGTGCCCTTAAACCTTGGTGTCCAAGTAAGCTGGAGAGTGGGATGTTTATCACAGGACTCCTGAGTAGCTGCCAGGTGTTTCAGGAGATTAAGAATTCATTTTATCATTATTATTTATTTTGAAAATAGTTGTCATCAAGGGTGAGAACTACATCTCTGTTGTATGCATTGTTCACTTGGACTATTCTACAATTTCTAATCTAAAAAGTCCAAAGTACTTACATTGTGGACTACAGAGATACCAATCATGGACATAAACAAACACGTATTTGATAAATCCTTGGATGTATCTTCAAGGATGCAATATGAAGAATAATGATTAATTACATCATGTATTGCCATTTCTAAGGGAAGACATAATATAAATGGAAATTCCAGGAAGTTTAAAGGGGATATCAGTCTGCATATACTTTATTCAAGATCTCATATCATAGGCAAAGCATATATGTGGATCTCGCATTTGAAGCCGCAACTGCCTGGGTCTCTTAGCTGTGAGCAGCTCATCATGATTGAGACATATCACAACACCATAACCACGGTGAAATTATATAACAGAAACGAACTTGTCTAAACAGTTTTAGGTGATAATAAATATCAACTTAGAATCACAAAACTTCTCAAGTTACTGTTACAGCAAATTCAGAAGAAGTAATGCATATACTCACTCCTTGCCCATATCATGGGGTCACCCCTCTCCCACGGGGCCAAATTATTCTTTCCATGGAGATGTTATCATGAAGTTCTCAACAACCTTCCTCAAAGTACCCAAAAAAGGGGTTTCTCCTCTGAAAAAAAATGGCAATTTGAAGGCAGTGGCTCCCACAAAGGAAGAACTCCACGTGAAACACAAGGGCACAACAGGGCACAGCTAGATGATACAAAGGGCACATCAAAAAAAAGAAAAACACTAGCATCCCCAAGAGCAAACAGTCCCTGAAACTGTCCAGCCAATGCCTGTGAGCGCTCAGAGGTCACCCTACAGCAGCCTCAAGGGGCAGCAGCCTCCACCCTCTGAGACCCGCGGAACAGCTTTCTGCCTGCAGGGTTCCGTATCCAAGTCGGTGCCGGGGCTTTCCCTCCCCAGGGCTTTCCCTCCCCAGGGCTCTTGGCAGATGCCCCAGGCACACGCCTCGGGCGGACTTGCCTTCACTCAGCCCGATCCGCCTGAAAGTGAATGCGCCCCAGGGCGGCCAGTGGAGGAAAACTCAACTCCATTTCCAAACAAACTTGAATTCAGCTCAGAGGGCAACTTTTCGGGGCCAGAGATCTATCCCCACAGAGCTGCCATTGCAGGAGAAAGCACACTTCGGTCAATACTGAGCTTTCCGGAAGGGCTCCCTTCTCTTTACTGATGGGAGACAGGCCACACCCATCATCCAACGTGCTCTGAAGCCAGGAACCTAGGACCAAAAAGACCCACTCACCTCCACTTTTCCAAGCCTGGACGAAAGCCCTGCCAGGACATCCTACACAAAGATCAATTGTAAAAGCAGCCGCTGAGGAAAGGCCCCGCCCACAGCCTTCCGGGAGGGGGAAACCGAGCATCTGGGAAGAATGCAAAAACAGGTGCGTGTGTGAGCCATGTGGAAGCCCAGGGACGCTGTCGAGCTTCAGGGGTGTGCCTGCAAGCACGGGGTGCCCCAACACCCAAATCCCATGGCTCTGGAAGGAAGAAGAGGATCCCCAGCCTCCTGCATCCGGATTGCAACTTCCCTTGAGCCTCAGCGAAATCCTGTTGTGCATGATTATAGGTCATTATCTCATCAAGAACATGTGAGTTCTCATCATTGCCCGAAACAAGGCACTCCCCACGCAGCCAAGCACCAGCACCTGAGTAGGCTTGCCTGCGATGCTTTCTGGACATAAGAAGATCCAGAAGAACATGAGTGACTTTCTGCGTCTTGCAGGTGCTGGACAAAAACTGACTTCCATGGCCCCGGGGCCGTATGCCCAACTCACGTATTCCTCTGGGGACAGCTTAAGGCCAGAGAGGGGGCCAGCCATGAGAAAATTAAGCCCATCCCTTTAGGGACTGTGCCTCACAGGGGCTACACCTTCATGCCTCCAGTGATGATACATGATACACCCCAGGGGATACATCAAGGGACACACACGTCGACAAAGGCACTTATTCGGAGACAGAAACCACTAACCTGATATGCATATGGGCCTACCCGAACCTCAGCCATTCTAACTCCAGCCCTTTTCACCTTTCCCTCTCCCTCCCTCCTTACTCAGGCTCTCACAAACCTGAATGAATAAGGGGTCGAATGAGTGGGTAAATGCACTGCAGAATGTGTCCAGGGATGAAGCTGTGATGAGTGAGTATGGGACTCCACAGAGCGTCACTGATTCTTCACCCAGCAGGAGGCCAGGCAGAAGGGGAACTCGGCTGGTCAGTCACTATGCGCGTGTCCTGGGGGAATGGAGCTCTTTGGATGGGCTCCACTGAAGTCATGGCCAGCAGTGGGTGGCAGGTGAGACATTGGCCTTGGCCTCTTGCCTAAGGACAAAGACAAAATCGCGCCAATAGGTCAAGGGAATTTAGGCTCGGCAAAGCCTGTATCTTAAGATGGGCTGGTGGCTCACAACCTGGCCTCTAGGCCAAACCCTGTATAAAAACTTTCAAGCCAGGGAAAAGAGCCACCTTTCTTGGTTCAGTGTCCCTGGCCAAGGCACAACCATGACTGCCACACAGCAGCCATGCAAGTGTATTCTCCTTGGCCTGCATCACGGGGTCCTGCCTCTCCTGCTGGTCAAAATGGTCTCTCAATGAAAACCATACCATGGTTCTGAGGTTTTGCAGACGGCCTCTCTGTGAAAGTATCCTTAGAAGAGGTGACTCCTCTGGAGGGTGGCATCTCTGAAGGCAGTGTCTCCTGGAAGGGAGGAACTCCACAAGAAACAAGGGGCCTGGTCGGGTGAAGCTAAACACATCCAAGGGCCCATCAGGAACAGCTGGCACCCCCAGAGCACGGGGTCCCTGAAAATGTCCAGGCAAAACCTGGAGGCTGCTCAGGGGTTGCCCTTCAGCTCCCTCAAGAGGTAGCAGCCTCTACCAGCTGAGGACCGCAAATCACGTTCTGCCTGCAGAGTTCCCTATCCATGCCCGGGCCCTGGGCCCTCCGTACCCAAAGCTCTTGGTAGATGCATCAGGCACACACCAGCTGGTGCTGTGCCTCCCCTCAGTAAGGCTGCTGGGTCTGAATGTGTGCAAGGACCTGTGTGAAAGGGCCCCAGGGCGGCCAATAAGAAACCGTTGCCTCCATTTCCAGTCACATTCGAATTCAGCTCTAAAGGAAAACTATTTGGGGCCAAAGATCCTATCTGTAGGGCTGCCACTGCAGGAGAATTCACCCTTCCATGGATACCGAGTTTCCCGAATGGGCTCCTCCTTATTTCCTGATTGGATGCAAATGACCCCCATCATCCAACGTGCGCTGGGGCCAGGAACCTAGGTCCAAAGAGACCCACTCACCTCCAGTCTTCCAGGTTATGGCCAAAGCCCTGCCAGGGCGTCTCACTGAAAGACACAATGGGAAAAGCAGGAGCTGAGGAAAGGCCCTGCCATGGCCTCCGAGGAAGGGGGCGAACTGAGCACTGGGAAAGAATGCCGAAGACAGGAGCCTGTCTGAGCCACGCGGAAGCCCACGGACATGGACGCGTCTCAAAGGCATGCTTCCAGTCATGGGGTGCACCCACACCCTAATACCGTGGCTCTAGAGGGAACAGGAGGATCCCCAGCCTCCGGTCCCCAGACTGCCATCTCCCCTGGGCCTCAGCGTAATCCTACTGAGCATAATTTTTAGGTCATCACCTCTCTTCAGGACCATGAGTTTTCATCATCGACCCAGCCAAGGTGCTCCCCACGCAGCCGAGCACTGGCATCTGAGTAGGCTTACCTGAGGCGCTTTCTGGACAGGTGGAGATCCAAAAGGCTGTGAGAGACTTTCTGCCTCTTCCAGGTGCTGGACAAAAATGGACTTCCATGACCCCAGGGGATGATTCCCATCGTCCTCTGGGGATGATTTCTTGCCAGAGACAAAAAAGACAGTGGTGAGAACTCCTACCCCACCCCTTTAGGAGCTGGGCATCATAGGGGCTTCACCTTCATGCCTCCAATGACAATACCTGATGCATTCCCGGGCATGTATCAGTGAACACACACACGGACAAAGGCACCTATCTACAGAGAAAGAAAACAGCCACCTGCTATGCATATGGGCTTACCCACCCCTCAACCCTCCTACCTTCAGCCCACCTTACCTTTCCCCTCTTCCCTCCCTCCCTCAGTTCTCACAGAGATAAATGATGAGCGGATGGGGTTGGATGAGTGAATGAATGAGTCCCTACAGAATGTGTGAAGGAATGAAGCCATGACGAGTCAGTATCGGCCTCCACAGAAAAGGCAGAGCATCACTGGTTCTCCACTCAGCAGGAGGCCGGGCACAAGGGCTTCTCGGCTGGTCAAACACTATGCATGTGTCCTGGGGTAATGGAGCTCTTTGGACAGGCTTGTTCCTGGTCTGGGCCAGCAACGGGTGGTAGGTTGGATGCTGGGCTTGGCCTCTTGCTTGAGGACACAGAGAAAATCATGCTGAGAAGTCAAGGGAATTTAGGCTGGTGAAGCCTCTATCCTAGGACTGGTCTGTGGGCACACCACCAGGCCTCCAGGCCAAGCTCTGCATGGCAACATTCAGGCCGGCGACAAGAGCCATCTTCTCTTGGTTAAGCGTCCCTGCTAAGGCACACCCATGACTGCCAAACGGCAGCCATGCAAATACATCCTCCTTTCCAGCATCAGTGTCCCCCATCTCCTGTGGGTCAGTGTGGCCTCTCAGTGAAGACGACACCCTGCCTCTGACAGCCCCTCTAGGAAGTATCCTCGGTAGAGGTTTCTCCACCATGCAGTGGCATCTCTGATGGCAATTTGTCCTGGAGGGGAGCAACTGCACCAGAAGCCCACAGGGTTTGGGAGGGTGAAGCCCACTGTCCTAGTGCCCATGAAGGACATCTGGCATCCCCACGGCCTGGGCTCTTTGAAACTGTCCAGGCCAAACACTGGGGCTTCTCATGGGTTGCCCTTCGCCTTCCTCAAGAAGTAGCAGCCTCTACCTACTTTGGCCAGTAGAGCAATGTCCTGCCTGCTGGGTTTCCTGTCCAAGCATGGGCTCCGGTCCTTCTCTACTGAACGCTTTTGGCAGAAGCACCAGGGACACACCACATGTGGCCATGTCTTCACTCAGGGAGCCTGATCAACCTGAAAGTGCTCTGCCACCCGTGTGAATGCCACCCAGGGCAGCCAGTAAAGAACCTTTGCCTCCATTTCCGATCGGACCTGAATTCAGCTCTAAGAAAAACGCCTCATGGCCAGATATTTCATCCTGAAGAGCTGCCACTGCAGGAGAAATTACCCTGGGTCAAAATTGGGCTTCTTGAATGGTTTCCCTCCTCTTTACAGATTGAAAAAGCCATTCCTAGTGTCCAATGTGGTCTTGGAAGAAGAATTTAGGACCAAACATATCCACTCATCTCCAGTTTGCTGGACCATTTTGACAGTCTTGCCAGAATTCTTGACTGAAAGACACAACCAGAAAAATGGTAGTTGAGTTAAGGCTTTGCCTATCTCCCCGAGAAGGGGTTGGGGAGTGGGCATCAGAATGAAAATCAAAAACAGGAGCCTGTCTGAGCCATGTGACAGCCCATGGACACGGCTGAGTCTCAGTGGTGTGCTTTGAGGCATAGGGTGCTTCCACACCCAAATCCCATGGCTCTAGTAAAAACAAAAGCATCCCCATCTTCCTGCCCTGGATTGCCACCTCCACTGGGTCTCAATGTGATTTTATTCAGCACGAGTTCAGGTCATCATTGTTTTTCAAGACCATCTGTGTTCTCATCATTGACCCAGCCAAGGATTTCGCAGGCATCTGAGCAGAAGCAATTTAGTAGGCTTACCTGAGGAGCTTCTGGACATGAGGAGATCCAGAAGGATGTGAGTGACTTTCTACCTCTTCCTGGTGCTGGAGAAAGGCTGATTTCCATGTGCAAGGCACATCTTCCTCTGGGGATGTCTTCTGTACAGAGAGGCATAGGGCAGGTGTGAGAACTTTTAGTCCATCATTATAGAGATTGTGCATCATAGGGTTACACCTTCATGCCCCCAGTGATGAGACACATCCCCAGGGATACATCAAGAAACACAAACATTGACAAAGACACCTATACCCAGAGAAAAAACACCTATCTGGTATGCATATTGGACTTGCCCACCTCTCAACCTTTCCACGTGCAGCCGTCCTCCTTTCCCGCTTCTTCCCTCCCTACATAGCTTTTCACAGAGATGAATGAATGAGTGAACTGACTTGGATGAGTGAGTGAATGAGTTCATGAAGAATGTGCCAAGGGATGAAACCATGACGAATCAGTAAGGGACTCCACAGAGAAGGCAGGGTATCATTGGTTCTCCACCCAGCAGGAGGCCGGGCACAAGGGCTTCTTGGCTGGTCAGACACTATGCATGGTTCTGGGGGAAATGGAACCCTTTGACAGGCTCAATCCTGGTCTGGGCCAGCAATGGGTGGCAGGTGGGATGTTGGGCTTGGCCTCTTGCCCAAGAACACAGAGAAAAATCATGCTAAAAAGTCAAAGAAATTTAGGTTTTGGAAGAAGATGTCTGATGACTGGTCCGTGGGCTCACCACCAGGCCTCCAGCCAAGACCTGCATGAGAACTTGTTCAGGCTGGGACAAGAGCCTTCTTTTGGTTCAGCGTTTGCTCCCAAGTCATACCCATGACTGCCAAACAGTAGCAACGAAAACCGTTTTTTGAGGCCTGTATCATAGTGGCCCCCATCTCCTGCAGATCAGCATGGTCTCAAGATGAGGATGATATCATGTCTCCAAGGGCTGCTGACTGCCTTTCTGGGAAAGTACACTCATAAGACGTTTGTCCTCTGAATGGTGGCATCTTTGAAGGGAGTGTCTCCCAGAGGCGAAGAACTCCATGTGAAACACAAGGGGCTTTCAAGGGTGAAACTAAACAAATCAATGGGCCCATAAGGAACAACTGTATCCCCAAAAGCCCAGGGTCCCTGTATCTGTCCTGTCAAAACCTTGTCAATGCTTGGGGGTCGCCCTTCAGCTCCTTCAAGAGTCAGCAGCCTTTACCCACTGAGACTAGCTCAACAGGTTCCTGCCTGCAGGGTTCCCTATCCATGCCTGGGCCCTGGTTTTTTCCTACGAAAGGTTCTTGGCAGACCTCCAAGCACACAACACAGGTGGCCATCCTCTTTACTCAGTCAGCCTGATCAGCCTGAAATTGTGAGTGGAATTGCACGAATGGTCCCTAGGGAAGCCAGTGGACAAAACCTCGCCTCCTATTCCAATCGAATTGAAATTCTCTCTAAGGAAAAGCTTTTTAGAGCCAGAGATCCCATCCCGTGTAGCTGCCACTACAGGAGAAATCACCCTTTCATCGATACTGAGCCCCCGAAAAGGTTCCCTCTTCTTTACTGATTGGAATAAACCACCCCTAGTGTCCAATGTGCTCTGGGGACAAGAACCTAGGACCAGACATATCCACTCACCTCCAGTTTGGCAGGTCACTGTGGAAGTCTTGCCCGAACGTCTGACTGGAAGACACAATTAGAAAAACAGGAGCTGAGGAAAGGCCCTACCTATGGTCTCCCAGGAAGAGGGAAACTGGCCATCAGAAAAGAAAGCCAAAAATAGGAGCCTTCTTGAGCCATGCAGAAGCCCACGAACACAATTCAGTCACAAGGGAGTGCCTCAAGGCACAGGGTGACTCTGCATCCAAATCCCATGGCTTTGGAGGGGAAAAAGGGATCCCCATCTTTCTGCCCAGCATTCCACTTCTGTTGGGTCTCAATGTAATACTATTCAGCATGATTTTAGGTCATCATTTCTCTTCAAGCCCATCTGTGTTCTCATCATCGACCCAACAAAGGTGCTTCCCATGCATCGAGTGCTAGCATTTCAGTAGGCTTACCTGAGAAAAGACGTGAGTGACATTTAGCCTTTTCCTGCTGCTGGACAGAGGCTGACTTCTGTTGCCCCACAGGCAATATGTCCAACTCAGATCTTTCTCTGGAAGTGTCATCTGGCTAGAGAGGGGGAGGACAGCTATGAGAACTCCTGGTCCATCCTTTAGCGATTGTGCATCGGAAGTGCTACATCTTCCTCCATCGAATGAGAACACACTCTGCACCCATGATTGTAAATCAAGTAACACAAAGATCAACAAGGCATTTATCCACAGAGACATAGAGCACATACCTGATATGCATACGGACCTACCTACCTCTCAAGCTTTCCACCTCTAGCCCTCCTCATCATTCTTTTTTCTCTCTCTCTACATAGGTTCTCATAGAGAACCAAAGAGTGGATGGCATTGGATGAGTGTTGAATGAATCCATGAACAATGTGTTAAAGGTCAAATCAATGATGAACCAAAAAAGACCCCACAGAGAAGGCTGAGCATCACTGATTAAGTCCCCAGCAGAAGGCACAGCACAAGGGTGTCTCGGCTGGCCAAACCCTAAGCATGTGTTCTGGGGAACAGAGCCCTTGTGAAGGTCTCAACCCTGGTCCAGTCCAGCAGTGGGCAGTAGATGGGATGCTTGGCTTTACCCCTTTTCTAGGACATGAAGTGAATCATGCCATGAAGTTATAGAAATTACACTGGGGCAAGCAGATATCTGGTGACTGGCCCATGGCCCACCAGCAGTCCTCCAGGACAAGCCTTTCTTGGGCTCTCTCAAGTGGGGCAAGAGCCACCTTCTGTAGGGTCAGTGTTCCTTTCCAAGGTGTGCCCATGACCCTCAAAGAGCAACAATGCAAATCCCTCCCTTGCTGGCCCCCATCATGGGGTCTCCCCTCTCCTGCAAGTCAATATGATCGATCAATGGAGATGGTACTATGTCTTGTCAACTAGGGTTGTCAACAACCTAGCTAGAAAAGTACAATCACAAGTGGTTTCTTTTCTGGAGGGTGTCATCTTTAAGGTCAGTGGCTTTTGGAAGCAAAGAACTCCACGTGAAACACAAGGGGCCCAGTAGGGTGAAGTGAAACCAGTCAAATGGCCCATTAGGAACAGCTGGCATCCCCAAGTGCCCAGGGTTCCTCAAGCTGTCCATGCCAGGCTTCGTGGAGGCTCAGTGTTTACCTGTCAGCTCCCACAAGAGTCAGCAACCTTGACCCCTGGGGCCCTCAAAATAGGTTCATGCCTGCTGGGCATGGCACCCAAGCCTGGGCCTTGGTAGTTCCCTACAGTGCTTCTATGTAGACTGCATATCATAGACCAAAGGTGACTATCTGGTCAACAGGTCTGAATTATCGGTCTGAAAGTATGCAGAGAGTTGAATGAATGTTTCCCTGGGTGGCCAGTGAAGGAAACCTTGCCTCCATTTCCAACTGGATTAGAATTCCGCTCTAAAGAAAAGCTTTTCAGGGCCAGAGGCCTTATCCTGTAGAACTCCAACTGCTGGAGAAACCCCTTCTGTCAACACTGAGGTTCCTGAAAGGGCTCCCTCCTCTTTACTGTTTGGAGGCAGGCTGCCTCCATTGTTCAGAGTGCTCTGGGGCTAGGATCCTAGGACCTAAGATGCCCACTCACCTCAAAATTTTCAAGCTATGGAGAACATCTTTCCAGAACATACTGAAAGACGCAGTCGCAAAAGAAAGTGATGAGGGTGGGCCTCAGAAGACCTCCCTGGGGTAGGGTGGAATGGAGATCAGAAAAGAAATTCGAAAACAGCAGCCTGTCTCACCCAGGTGGAAGCCCATAGTCACGGTCAAGCCTCAAGAGCGTTCCTTGAGGCATAAGGTACCTCCACACATAAAACCCGTGGTTCTAGAAGGTACGGAACGATCCCCATCTTTCTGCCTCCAGATTCCCACATGCATTTTGCCTCAGCTTAATCCTTTTGAACATTTTTTTAGGCCATCATATGTCTTTAAGATAATATGAGTTTTTATTTTCAGGAATTAATGACATTTTGAAGTATCCTTTCCCTCTCTTTAGCATGCTTATTACAAAATATTTTAAAATTAATATTTTATGCTTAACATTAGTTTCATAATATTTGGTGGCATTCAGCTGAACCTTTTTTTAGTGTTTTCAATAACTAAATATTTTAAAAATTCTTTTTATTGTTTATTTTCACATTGTAGTACATATTTTAAAATGTACATCTTCATCTAATTGAGCTTGAATCTTATCGGTTCTTTTCTTAGAGGTCATTACATTCAGTTTTGACAGCGATCATTACAGTTTTGTTTATCCTTTTTGCCTCTGGAGTAGAAAGAGAGTGTTTATAATTTTATTTTATTAAACTTATATATGCCTTCAGCTGTTTGGAAACATGAGATTGTTTCTTTTATCAATTTCATTTTATTAATCACTGCTTTATCTGTGCCTTTTTTGATTGCATATGAACTTCATAAAAACTTATTCTTAAATCCGCATAAGTCTTTAGATTGCAAATCAGATAGCAGTGCAGTTTTAACTGTGTTTTTTAATGAATACTTTGAAATTACTGAACCACCTTTTTTGAACATGGTTAATAAGCTATTGTTATGCTTGTGTCTTCTTCAATATCATACAAACTTGGCAACTGTAGAACAAATGAATTCAATAATCCATGTAAATATGTATTCTTATATATTCAGGTCAAATGAAACCACACCGTAGAATGGGAACCACAGCTCAGGTAGTTTAATACAATTTCATCCAAATATATTGGATTTGCTCATGAGAATTCCTTAAAGTCAGTCACTCGTTGAGAAAAAGAAGCAACATTTCTGATTTGGTGCCACTGGCCTATTTATGTGTAAATGAGAATCTTCTGGTATCATTTATAGCATATCCTTTATTAAATGATCAATGGGTTCATATCATGAGCTGTAATTTTAAATGTGTTTCTTAATGTATATTCTAAATTTTAAGTTAAAAATTTACTTTCATAACAGTACAAATACTGAATCTCAAATCCCTTCTTCAATGGCATTTTCCTCCGTTTATGGGAAATTCTTTGGTACTTCAAAGTCACTCAAAGCAGTTAGAATTCCCTAAAATTATAAAAATATTTCTCTCATCATGTTTGTTGAGTTAGATTAAACATTGCCCTGGGGACACTGAATCTAAATTTCTCAAATTCTATATTATTAATTTCATGTTCAAATGAAACTTTTATAACAAAAAATTTACATCAAGTCAGTCAGTCGCTCATTAAAAAGGAAATTTCATATACCTATTCAGTTTATCTTCTGCTTAAACCTGTTTACCTGAGGTGTACAACTCCTCCAGTGAATTTTCTATCTGGGCTACACAATGACCAAAGGAAACTAGACAATTACCATCAATGCAGTGTTGCACCCCTTGGTTGAATGTCTTACTCAAAGACACATTGAGAGAAAAGCAGTGATGACGTTATCTCTTAATATAACTTACTATTAAAAATTATGAATCTCTGACATAAAGTCTATAGGATGAATTTTTTTTAACTTTTGAGCAAATAGGATTGGTTCAAATGAGCCTCTTTTAAGGTTTCCTTGTCTCAAGTGCCAAATAAAATGCCTAGAAAGGAAATAATGATTACATATATATTTCCCTGTAAAACATAGGTTTATCTTCATCATAATTCAATTGATCACAATTTTTACATCATCATCTCACTTCAAGACAATAAGTTTTCATAATTGACCCAAACTGTGGGACTCCACATGCATACATACACTTGGGCCTGAATACACTTACTAGCCAATTGTGGTACCAATTTGGACTGGTGTTTTGATGTATTTCAGCGGTAGGCACGTGACTCACATTAATTCTCCAGTGGTACAGGCCAAATTACTTAAATGCACAGGAGTAGGATGGGTATCAAATAATAGAACTAGGTCTGTCATGGAACATGGCTCTTTAATGCTTTTCCTTAAGGGAGGAATATAGTCCATACTCAGAAAACATTTGGCACTGTCCACTGCATGTGAACTTTCCTGAAATGGCATCCCCTGAATCCACATGAAACTCGGGGTTTACAAATTAAGTATCAGGCTACTGAGAATAGTATTTATCTCTAGGCACCTTTTGTCATTAATAGCATATATATTATTATACTTAAAATAATATATTAACATGATATTCAGGTGCTGAAATTAATAAATGGGTTTCCTCATTAATAAAATCAACTTTAGGTTTAATAAGGATAGAAAATTACTGAATCTCACATTTTCATCTCTGTTGGCAGAATCTTTCATTTACTAAATGTTGTTCAATGACCCTAATGCAACACGACACTATTAGAATCTCATTTAATGTAGAGATATTGGTCTAGTTATGCACAGAGACCTAGATGAGTATTGAGTATTTCTCTCTTACTCTGTGTTCTCTAGTAGGTTTTTATTCCACCCTGCTTGCATCTGAATTACATCTTCCTATAATTGTACCAAGGCATTGAGTATGTGTATCAGTATTTATATATAAACAGAGTTCACAATTGTGGTCCCAGCTTCTATATCCCTATAAATATGGTATTTATTAAGTCTCTTTTGTTTTTATTATGATAGTATTTTAATTCCTGTATAAAAGTTTCATAATGGTAAAACCTACTGTATACAAATAGAATTGAATTGTCTCAAATCAGCAGTATTGTTAATATTGAAAGATGTATTTCATTTAATGATCCTAGAAACCTTAAATGCGGGGACTGGAGATTGCCAAGCACTTAGCAGGTTAAGCTTATTTTTATGGGACAGTATCTTTTTGGACTTGTGAAAGAAATATCCTTTATCATTTGGGCTGGGGTAGTTTTTCCTCATTATACATTAATTTCAGTTTCGTTAAACTGGACTCCAGTAGCTTTATAAGACAGAAAGCAGTTGGAGTTTTGCATTAGTGTTCCAGGACTTTCATTTTGAATATACTTGTATTTAGTTTGATCAGTTGAAAATTTCTTCCAGTTATATATTCAATACTATAAAGGGTGATATTTAAGATAGCTTATTTGGGTAATATAGACCAGTCTGTGGGAGTGGACATTTTCCATTTCTCCTAAATTTAAACTAACCAATTGGTGGGTTTAAAGAATTATGACAAAATAGGTGTTTCTTGAGTCCTAGCTCCATATGCAGAAGACCTGTCAATTCAAAATTCCTTGAGGTTAAGATATTCATTTTTAAAGGAAGAAGGAATAAATACTATAAGCTTCATGTTTAATTGACACGAAAAAGAATACGTATCAAAATTAAAATGGTCAAGATAATTAAGAAGTAACGAAACAATCTATCTCTCCTGCTGTCTGTCCATTAGAGAAGCTCTCTGTTCAGCCTGCATATTATTTTAAGTTACAATCTAGAGGATTTAACCTTAAGGTTCTTAATAGGAATTATGGTCCACTCGATCACAGGTATTAGTCTCACAAGAGAAGAATGCATCTCCTTGGGTTTCTTCTTCTTGATGGTGGTGGGAATTATCAACATCATCTGGCAGGGTTCTGTCTAATGTGATGACCATCAGCCGGATGTTGGAACAATTTGATATAAACCAGGTCTCCGCTCAATAGTGATGACACAGCTTCTCAGGGGGATTTTTCCAGCATCTGGCCACATGGTGGCAAAATTAGACCAGAGAAGCCCACAGACTCTTCAAGTATTACATCTGATATTGACTGCTTTTCATTGTATCAGATAATGGGTTAGGCTTAAACCCTAAATACAAATATCTTTTAAATGCAATTTGAGAAATAGCACACTTCCTAGAGGGAGTTAACCTAATTTTTAATAAAAACAAATGGTAAGGTTTTTTTTTGGCCACATAAAATTTTAGAGTATGGTTCATTCATTCCACTTGTCCAGAGACTGGAGATGATAAAGAGTAGGCAAATTTGAGCATTTGTAGGATATTACAAAGCTCCTGAATTAACCACAAATATAGAATTACTTCATTGGATTCTAGATGTTTAGGAATTCCAAAAGTTGAGATGACATAATTTAGTAAGGTGCTTTTTAAAAATTGTTTCAACATCAGTTCTAGCCTATGGAAGCATGTCTGGCCATCTAAACACCATACCAAACATTAATAAAAACAGTTAATACCTTCTAAAAGTGTAAGGTTGATAAAGTCAATTGGTCGACATATTCCATGTAACATTGGCCTCAGGTAGCATACTTGACTTATCTTAGATGTTCCCTGTAAAGATTTTTTTTCATGAAGAGCACATACTTATATTATTTACTGAAATATTTAGTCTTATAAAAGAGTTTCAAGATTCCGAAATATTCAGCATATTCCTTCTGTTTGAATAAGTTTGTCAGTGGCATGAAAAAGCCACCCAAGCATACGATTGGAGTAAAAAAAAAATCCTATAATGTAACTCCTATTTTCTCATGATACTCTTCTTATTTACCCTTGATTTGTAATTTTCTAGTTCTTACAGTCAATATTTCTGAAATTACAAATAAGAGTTTCTGGACAGAAGTAACAGGCATTTATTTTTTTCCAAAACTTAGTATCTCTTTTCACAGAAAAGAATTGTTGGAGAATTTTCAATGACTCTAATAAAGTGGTAATTCACCTCCCTATGTAATATTTTAGTTTCTATCAACATTAGGAAGCCTCCACTCTTCCAAAGCTGGCTGGTTGCATAGCAGACCATGAACATATTTATTATTAGCACAGGTATTCACTTTGAGGCTGAAGGCTAATCTAAAGCAAAACATTGGAAAGATGGCAAATTAGGCATCTCTGGCCCTACTCCCCTCACGGAAAACAGCTTAGCAGCTGTGCACAGATGAGAATGCCCTTCTGACAGTCTGACCCCCAGCAGGAAGGCTCTAGTGCCCAGGGGAAGCATGAAACCCAGGAAAACCACATCAAAAAGGGCTGGAGCAAACATTTCCGTTTGTACGTGTTGCCCCTTCCCTGAGCTGGAACAGCAACACACTGAGATGGCTCTCCTTGGCCCGATATTTCTCCAGTTGTGGAAAGAGAAACTAAGACACACACACAGCTTTCCCAGTGTTTCGTGGCATCGTCTGAGAAACTCAACTTGCTCTCACTTCACGTAGATCTCTGAGGGAACTGGCATTGTTACACCACCTGAGGACAGTTAGGAAAAAGGAAAAGGGACGTGGGCTCACAGCCGCTAGTGCTGCAGATCTTGGCAGAAGCCATCTGCTCCGAACAGCGTCCTTGCCCAACCAGGGCCCCTGCTAGCAGCTTGGCTAGAAGAGGGAGTCCTCCACTAGCCCCATTCAACCAGGGAGCCCAGCCTGGAGCCCTGCCCACTTAGCACAGAGCATTCTTTTTTCCAATGTCTTGACTTTTTAATAGTAAATTATTGATTTTCTATCATCATGTTCTTTCTTATTTATCGGGGACCCCAGAAAAGATTGTGTTCCCTTGTAAATAATTATAACTTGGCAGCTAAACTGCAGTCTTTCATTTCTTTATGTCTTATCTTTCTACATATTTTCACAAAGCTAGGTTGAAGCTGCAAATAGCTGAGAAACTGTTTGTTCTTGCCATCAACCTACTTTCTCTCCTACTTGTGTTTGAATTCCTGGCAAGAAACGTGCCATAAAAATGGAGAGACTCCAGGTCTATTCTGATCTTCACATGGATTTATATCTGTAAACACAGACAAAGCCTCAGTGAACTGTGATGAAGAACAGTGAAGGACTCACTCAGCTTCGGAGTGTAGCACTTAGCTTCTCTCAGTTTATTCTCCAGAAAGGCTCCAGAGAATCTTGTCAGTAGCCCCACATGTTAGGTTTCCGAGGTACAAAGAACAGAATAGCCTGAGTTGTTGGAGGAAGCGTACAGTTGGATTCCTGAGGACTTGGGACTCCCTAATATCGGGATTACCATTTTGCCTTCTTTGTTTCTGTTTCATTAGTCAAAGAAAGTCAACTGGAGGCAACAATCCATGAGACAGCCAGTATGCATTCCCATGTATAGGGCTGTAGACTGAAAACACAGTGCACAGCACCTCAAGAAATTTCTGTGGATTTCTCCAGAGCACTAGGGAAAAGGGAATACAGACACTTAGCATTTTCAGCCTTCCCAGCAGTCCTTAATACATTCTAACAGGCAGTTGAGTTATTGGAGTTACAAAAGGATAGGGCTGATATTCTTTATATTGAAATGAAAAATAAATAGGGTTCGATTACACTGTAGCTTCAGTTCCAATTTGCCATTTAGTGGCATGACTGTTTTTCATTCCCTTTCTTCCAAGTCATTATGGCAACACCTGCCCAATCTGATGCTTTCATTCTATTGCACAGTTTCTTAGCCAAATTTTCAATGACTACTCGCTCTTTTCTCTTAATCATATCTGCTTCCATAGTTCTGTTTTGTATAGCCTAGAACACTCCTACAACCCTTCTCAAGAATGGTACTTACGCTGGGGATTAACATAAATTCTATGTTATCAAATCTCCTCATGACACAAGCCATGGCACTACCCTTATATATTTATTTGATCCTGAAAACTCTAACCAGGGTTAGCATCCTTAAAAACCCTGTGCCAATGTGACAAGGGAGTTTTAGGGCAATGAAAGTATTCTGTATGATACTACAGTGGTGGCTACACGTCATTATGCATTTGTCAAAACCCATAGAATGTACATCAAGAGTGAACCCTAATGTAAACTATGGACTTTGGTTGATAATAATGTGTCCATATTGATTCATTGATTGTACCAAAC